GAAAAAGGAACAAACCTATCCCATCCATATTTCCAACAAAAATATATGGAACAAATCCGAGAAATTTACGACGAAGCAGTTGCACACGTAGACAAATGCAACGAAAATCTGCCACAAGGGTCCGGCACCAATGCGACAACTAATAACGGAGAGGCAATCGAACAACTGAAAAATACAGATCAAATTAAGCGCATTCTGCGCCAAAATGTTCGAATCCAGATGTTGGTCCATACACTCGAGGAAGCTGAACGAGATCTATCTGAACCACGTCCGAGTCGCTAATACAAACGGCCACTACACAATGGACATCAGTGACGAAGTGCACGAAGAAATTAAAGCTGAAGCTACCGAAACAGGCCACCCCTACTTTCAAGAAAATGTTTTCTGGACGACCCAAGAAAAATACCGAGAAATGGTGAACAGATTAGAAGACAGAATTACTAGAAGCAGACAATCGAGTAAACCCAATGTGCCCCTACCGAAAACTCACCTTCCCCAATTCAGAGGAGGGTACGAAGAGTGGGTCACCTTCAACGATTTATTTCGTCAGGTGATTCACGAAAATACCAATTTAACTAACGTTGAACGAATGCAATATCTAAAAACGAATGTGAGAGGAGAAGCCGCCAAAATAATCTAACATCTACAAATAACTAAAGCCAACTACCAAGCTCATTGTAGGAATCGACACCAAACAATGGGATCCAATCATTGGAAGAATGATAATAAGAAAATGGGACTTTGAGACGAATAGGATATTCGAACAATCCATCAGTAATCCCAACGAAGTGCCAAGTCTGTCCGAAATAATGACATTAAAAAAAAATATTCCAATCGCTTGAAACGACAAAGTTTTATATAGAAAAGGGAAGTAGTAAAACTTCACATAATAAAAATCCGCGGCTATGGAACACACAATTCTGTATCATATGCAACCAACCACACGGCATTTTTAAATGTACTGCATTTATGGACAAAACTACCGAAGAAAGAATCAAAATGATACATGAAAAGGGTCTGCACCAAGTGCATTAAACATTATAACAAGGAACAATGCTACACTCAGAAGAAGTGCCAAATCTATGGCCAATCGCACCATACATTATTACATTTTGAAAAGAAAGAAGAGAAAACCCCTCGGAAAACCAATTCACACACAGGCACTACCGAAAAACCAGACGACAGCGTGAGCTGCAAAGGGCTAGAAGATACAGTACTGTTAGCGACAGCACTCATCAAAGTTAAATCAGCATCTGGGACCTTAGAATACCTTAGAGTTCTGATCGATTCCGGTTCACAGGCGGCTTTACTAACTGAAAGGGCCTCTTAATCATTGGGACTTCCCCGCCAGAAAACTACCACGGAGGTATCCGGGTTAGGCGATAACCACGCAAAAATGTCAAGAAGCGTCGCTCACCCCACAAACTTTCAGCTCGCCCGTAAAGATTTATTTACAAAGCTTGACACGTAAATAACTAATAAAATCCTATCGCAATATTTACCAGCACAAATACAATTTTATGTGATAAGGCCCATTTCCACTTACCATCATAATATGCCTGTATACTACCAATACCTCCTATCTACAATTTTTGTCAAATATGAGTTATTTACCCTAATAGATCTATATTAAATATGTAAAATAGAAAGAGCTTTCAATAAATAAAATTAATATTATTATTATCATATTATTCTTTTCTATTATAAAAAAACAGTTTTTGGTTTTTCTGAAAAGTTTTAGTTTTTGCATATTGGAGGTAATATTTATATATATTATACATACCTACATATGTATATATATATGAGGCATTCCATGTCAACTCGGCCACCCCCTCCTGTGCAAAATTGACTAAAGTTTTTCGAAACGTGCAACTGATAAATTTTTAGCTTATCGTCTTAACTTTCAAATGCCGAGTGGTATTTTGTAAAATTTCAAAATGGCGGTGTCAATATAGTGACTGCAAGCAATATACATCACTTTAAAAAAACCGTATTAGGTAGGTTACATTAACTAACAGCGATATAAAATTAAAAATTGAATTTGATTATATGCACTAATCTATTATCAGTGATTCTATGTATTTTTTACCGCTGATTACACAATGGTTCGCCCCTAACCCCCAAAAAAAGCTTAAAAAGCAGTTTTGTGAAATTTACAGCCCCTAAATGCATTTTTGATACATATTTTTGCATTTGTTTTTTGTATTTCTCATTGCCTAATATAAATATGGCCTTACCTCAGAGTCGACATAAAACTGTACGTTCCTAACCTAAAATAAATCTCAAAAAATGTATTTTTACCTTCTTTATAGCTGTTTAAAGCATTTTAAAGATTGGCATGAGGTTACATTTTTATACTTTTTATCGCCAAGTACGTAAATAATCCAACTATAAATTTCAGACTAAGCAGTTTACCCCTAACCTTAAAAATATTTTCTAAAAATTAGTTTTCTGCAGATACAGATGCTGAAGAAAATTGAAATATGGGATGTATAGATTTATTTCCACACTTTTTATCGCTAAATACGATTATAATCTTTCTTTGACGGCAATTCTTAGTTAACCTATAAAACTTTGCAAAAATCGTATGTTAAAAATATTTTCTTACTACCTCGACTGAAAATACGTTGTTTCGTCCCCGATTCCACGAAAGAAAGTTTACGTTTGATGCATTGGTTAAGCTATACGCGCACCCTCTATAATAGCGGGAGTAAAAATTTTTTAGTCGTGTGCACTAGTACTCAACATATGCAACTCTGATATCGACACTAATATAACCTCAAAATTTGTTTTCAATTAGTTAATTAACTAATTGTTAATATTGAATATTATTTAAGACTAATAGTGAATAGTGAATTTTCAGTCGAGGTAGTAAGAAAAATAGTATACACTACACGGGCAGAAAGTGTAAGAGCCCTGCACTGCGCGCCATGATGCCATGGCGCGCCGCGCAGTGCAGGAATCTCACACTTTCTGCTCTTGTAGTGTAATATAATATGCTAAAATTGTAATAATCTACATCTACCGATAATTAAATTCGTACCAAAAATAATATTCTTTTGTGGTATTACCAAATAAAAATTTACTCTTAAAAAAGTATTCGAATGCTCCAAATGGCTCCGAATTTAATTATCGTTAGAATCTGATATAGATAATTACAAATTCAGCATATTGTTATGTAATAACTACTATACCTATGGTAAATATTTTTAACATATCATTTAAAGTTTAATAAAAATGAGGTTTAAATTTTAAACCTCATTTTTATTGCATAGGTAGTTTTTTTAGGTTAACAAAGAACTGCCATCAAAGATCATAAACATTTTTAGCGATAAAAGTGTGGAAATAAATCTATAAATCCCATATTTCAATTTTCTTTAGCGTCTGTATACTGCAGAAAACTAATTTGTAGAGAATATTTTTAAGGTTAGGGGTAAACTGCTTTGTGTGCAGTAAATAGTTGGATTATTTACGTACTTGGCGATAAAAAGTATAAAAATGTAACCTTATGCCAATCTTTAAAATGCTATAAACAGCTGTAAAGAAGGTAAAAATACATTTTTTGAGAGTTTTTTTAGGTTAGGAACGTACAGTTTTATGTCGACTCTGAGGTAAGGCCATATTTATATTAGGCAATGAGAAATACAAAAAACAAATGCTAAACCATCTATCAAAAATGCATTAAGCTGGAGTAAATTACGAGAAACTGCTTTTTAAGTTTTTTTTTTGAGGTTAGGGGCGAACCATTGTGTAATCAGCGGTAAAAAATACATAGAATCACTGATAATAGATCAGTGCATTAAATAAAATTCAATTTTTAATTTTATAAAGTTTTTAGTTAATTTAAACTACGTATTACGAATTTTTTAAAGTGATGTCTATTGCTTGCAGTCACTATATTGACACCGCCATTTTGAAATTTTACAAAATACCACTCGGCATTTAAAAGTTAAGACGATAAGCTAAAAATTCATCACTTGCACGTTTCGAAAAACTTTAGTCAATTTTGCACACTAGGGGGTGGCCGAGTTGACATGGAATGCCTCATATATATATATAATATTATATATATTATATATATTATATTATTATATATATAATATATATTATATATATATATATATATATATTAGGGTGGCCCAAAAAAAGAGAATATTTTTTTTCTTCTCGTTTCTTGTGAAAATATGTTGGTTTGTCATGTTTTAAGAGCCCTGTCAAAATATCAGCTCGATTAAAAATTTTGTAGAGGTCGCTCAAGATTTTTACAAATTTTCAAAATCGTCAAAAATTGAATTTTTGTTTTATTTTAATTCTTTTTCTCGTCTCGATATTATTTTTTAGGTTGAAAATAATAAAAATTCTGTAAATTTCAAATCAATATTTTGATTTCTAAAGGTCGCTAAAAGTTCGTTGATATTTATATTCAGAGGTCGCTCGAAAACATTCAAAATACTCTACTTTGAAAGTTAAAAAAATCTTGAGCGACCTTTAGAAATTAAAATATTGATTTGAAATTTTCAGAATCATTATTATTTTTAAATTAAAAAATAATATCGGAACGAGAAAAAAAATTAAAATAAAAAAAAATCCAATTTTTGATGATTTTGGTAATTTTTAAAAATCTTGAGCGACCCCTAAAAAATTTTTAATGGTGCTGATCTTTTGATAGGGCTCTTAAAACATGACAAACCAACATATTTTCAGAAAAGACGAGAAGAAAAAAAATATTCTTTTTTTTTGGGCCACCCTCATATATATATATATATATATATATATATATATATATATATATATATATATATATATATGCATATATACAATGTTAGGTACTGGGCTGCTAAGTATGTTCATAATAAAACAATAAAAACGGTTAATACCCTTAGCGCCACACTGTACAAAATGGATATACTGCATGTATATTATTTAAAAAATAATATTACAAATAAATAAATTAAAATATTACATATTTCTGACTATATTAATTATAATAATATTTTTAGGGAAATCGCTGGGGAAATAGTATCCCGTACTGCTGGTGTATGGCACAAAGGTTGTTTTGAAAAAAAATTAAATCATAATAAAGTAAAAGAAATTTGCAAAGTATTGGGTTTCAATTCCATTAAACCTATACAAATTGACATTCCCGAATACGAAAAAAATATTACAGCACTCCGTCCAATAACCGACAAGTTCAACATTGTGTGGATTTACAAAAATAAGAAAAATAAATTAAAAATAAAGATGCGTACAGGAAATAGGCCGTTTGTAAAGTTTCAATCCAAAACTAACTGTTATCGACTTTTTGTAAAGTGTTTATAAAAATAAAGTGTATTTTAGTCATTGTTGTTGTTTTTTATTTAAAATGTGGAGAGACTTGATTTATATTTTAAACCAGCTCCACACTATGCGGTACCTACCTTTCGTATAAAGATAATAATGCGTAAATTAATAAAATAAACTAAAACGAGAAAGGCCCTGTCGACTTACCTTTTCAGTTGTAGTGGACTGTATTTTATTGTTGGTAAACTGCAGGCTTCTGACTTTTCACAAATTCACCAAAAATAGTTTTTATCGGCAAGGTTATAAAAAGAGGTTATTCTTGCATTCGTTCGTTAGCGAGGTCACAGTATACCCACCATACTGTATACTGTGGCGAGGTTGTAATGGCACTCTTCCCCTTCTACACATTTTTAAGCCGTCAGAGGGCATTGGATACGCGAAAATTTAGCAAATAATTATTATTACAGCGCTTGAACCTGAGCCTGAACCAGAGCTGCCAGCTCTCAGAAAACTTAAATCGTTTTTTTGATTTAAATCGTTTTAATGACTTAAGTCATTTGGTAATAAGTCATTTCTCTAAAACTGACTTAAGACTTAAAATTTAAGTAATTTTCAAAATGATTTGTGACTTTAATATTTTTTTCAAAATAGAAAAAACTTAAGTCATTAATAAAAGGCTTAAATCAGTATATACGATTTAAGTCATATAGAAACGATTTAAGTCAAAAAAAGATTTATAAAAGTCGGTAAATTATTTAAGTAATTTAAAAAGATTTAAGTCTTTTTAAAAAAGATTTAAGTGTTTTTAAAAAAGATTTAAGTCTTTTTAAAAAAGATTTAAGTCTTTTTAAAAAAGATTTAAGTCTTTTTAGAAAATATTTAAGTCAGATTTTTCTTATATTTTTTTTATAAATTTTTAACAGAGGCATTTTCTTTTGAACTGCCAGGGGTTCACGCGGCAGCAGATCAAAAACTCCTTTAATTTCCTACCTACAATTGCTACCGCTAGGGAATAAAAAAACCGCTGCGGTAAAGTTAGCTTTTCGGAACCGTTTGACGGATAAATGAAAAAAAATGGGGATTTATAATTTTGTTATTTTGTTTGCCAACATTCGTCGTGTTATGCGTGCGTAGTTAGGTCTAATTTGTGATTATTAGTGCAAAGTGGAAACAAACGATTAACAGGTAAGGACGAATAAATATTATAAAGACGTGTTTATATCATACAGGGTGTTTCGGTTTGTTTAAGTAAATAATTAATTGAATCGAATATTTTTTTTCTAGATGGATGTTGAACCAGCTAACAAAAGTTAACAAAAGAACAAGTTATCAGTTTTTGAAATACAGCGATTTTAGAAAAATGCTTCAACTTTTATCTATTTTAACAGAGTTTGAATCTTTAACCGTTTAGAAGTTACCCATTTATGTATATAAAAAAGTAGCCTCCCTGTATGTACTCTACTAAAAAAGGTGGTTTAAGTTTTTATTTTGATTGGCTACTATATACTCAAAAAATGTGTTTTAAGTTTTTATTTTGTTTGTAAGTAAGTGTTCTGAAAATAAATCGTTTTAAATTCTTAACATAGTGGTTTATTATCATCTGTATCTACAATAGATTAATAATATAAGTATCATTAATACCATAAAATTATTATTAACATTTAAAAAATCGTTGTATTGACTTAAGGGTAAATATTTTGATTTAAATCACAATTTTTGGATTCAAGTCATTTTATTGACTTAACTCTTAGATCACGATTTAAATAAAAAATATAGACTTAAGTCATAAAAACGACTTACTAAAGGAATTAAGTCATAGGATGACTTAAATCACTTTATATTGGTTTAAGAATTTGCGAAAATGACTTGACTTGAAAGAAAATGATTTAATTCAAAGAGTTAATACTTAAATCATTTGAACTTTATCTTAGAATTGACTTAAGATTTAAATCATTTTGATTTTAGAATTGACTTAAGACTTAAGATTTAAGTCTTTTTAAAACTGACTTGTTGCAGCTCTGGCCTGAACCTGAGAATGTTAATGTAGATAGGAATATACGCGCCCACACATAAAGTATGAAATCCTTCGTGAAACTCTCGGAAAATACTTTTTACCACAATCCACACAACAAGGTCTGTTCTATCTCCTTTCGCGCGTACTAAAAATCACAAAGTTAGGCAACCCTCTGCAAACATATTAAAGGCGGCCATTTTTGTTGCTTTTGATTTGTGCTCTGTTTATACAGATTAATAATCGTTTTAAACGTTGTTAGTTTATTGGATTTTATTGACATCAGTTGAGTTTGCTCCTGTGTGTTCCTGTTTGGTTTTATTGACGTTACCAGTGTGAAATTCACACTGTGAATCAGTTGAGTGCGCTCCTGTTTGTGTTGATTTTGTCATTGGCTGTTGACTGTACTAGTGTACTTGTTTATAAACACTAATTAGTGCCTATTTTGAAATAAATATTGTTTAACCAGTAAGTAAAACTAAGGTAGTCAGTTTTCTATCTACATAATTTTATTTATTTAGTGGCGTACTGCATGGTAAAAAGTTGTAAGAACAGCAAAAACAACGAAGAGTTAAAATTTTACACAAAAACTCTTTAAAAGCCAAAGAATGGATTGAGGCTGCTGATAATTATCATTCAATGGTTAATATGGAAAAAACAAAGTCTCGTAAGTTCCACTACAATGTGTGCAAAACATAATTATTAATGTATATTATATATTTAGATCGAAGTTGTGCTACACATTTTTAGCCAAAATATTTGGTAAGCCTACCGTGGCCTTACTGAGAATGCTATTCCAACTTTGCATTTGCCTGAAAGGTAATAGTATATTATTGTTAATTGAAGAGTCTTTAATTAACAATATTATACCATTTATTTTTTATATCTGTTAAATAATTTTCCAACTATGAAATTTACAGATCCAAAACATTAGAAATCGTTGTAGATCTACCAAATGAAGCAACTTGTGCCAAAAGGTAATATAAATTATTTGGAATAAAAAACAATAATATGAATGTTATTTTTAAATATTGGCGAAAAGTACGAAATCTACCTCTTCCTGCTCCATTAACAATGCGAAAGTGGATTTCAGATATTATTTTTGAAGAAGGAATTTTATCTCCACTACTCCAAGCAATGAGTATAAAAAAAGACTCACTGAATAACATTCAGCGCCTAGCTGTCTTTGGATTTGATGATGTACATTTGTCACCCCAAATTGATATTGACAAAAAAAGGAGCAAGTGGTAAGTAAATATTCTATATTAAAACAAAAATTTATATAATGTATTTTTTAATGTTGGGCCACACAAAACATGTCTGACAGTTATGGCACCAGGATTAATTCACCGTTGGAAGCAACCAGTGTATTATAAATATGATGATGTTATATTTTTTCATATTTTTGAAACATTATATAACACTGGATACACAGTACTAATAAATAATTAATCAATTTTACCAAAACTGTGATATATATATACAATTCAATACCTTTTAACCAGTGGAAACCATAGAAAAAGGTGGAAACTATTATAGTGTAGTAAAAATTAAGTTTTAAATATTCTATTTTATATAAAATTGGTATTAGAACGTATTGTTATTAAAACGTATTTTATTAAATTTTGTGTTAGTAGTTGACTAGTTAACCCTAATTAGGGATTAAATATGTTACCAGTATGTTTTGGTATTCTTTTATTAATTTAAATATGCTAAATTGTATTATTTTATAAGCATGAAGAAATATATTTATTTTGTTAAATTATGCAAAAATTTAAGTGTATTTAAAAATACTATTTTTGTTTAAGTTTATTAATATTTATTTTGATTATTTTTTATTAAAAATATATATTATATTTTTTTGTTTTATTTAAATATCTACTTACTAAAAATCCTACCTTCATCTTAATAATTTCCGTACTTTCAAAAATTAATTTACTAAAAAATTATCAATTTGCAGTACTTAACTTACTAATATTATGTATTTGTCTTAATTAAATTATTTTGATTTATATTACTATCTTAACTTTTCTTTATTTAATTTCTAAAAAAAATCATCGACTATGGTCGGGTACATCCATTTTTACTTGCTAAAATACTTTCATCATTGATAATTTTATTTATAGATTTTAATATTGCCAATAATCAATTTTTATAAAAATTCTTATAAGAAAGGGTATTAAAAGTTATAATAATTATTATTAATTATTAAAAAAAAATATTGATTACCATATTGTAAAATAATGTTTAATTTACAAAAGTAATAATAGTGTACTTGTGTTTATTTCTGTTTACGTTAAAACTTGAAACAACTACCTACCTATATTTACTTGCTCAAAATACCTTTTTATAAATTTAATAATTTATTAATTAAATTCCCCAATTAACATATTTTTGTCAAATCTTTTGTTTAAAACAAACATTTGCGTTTACATTAAAACTTTAAACAACTTTTTATTTTTAAATTAACAGCGGCAAATAAATCAAAGATGGTGGCCATTAATATGTGACGTGGTGCGCATAACAGTCCTGATTTTCGTTCGCATTTTATCGAGATAGAACAGACCTTGTTGTGTGGATTGTGCTTTTTACATTATAAGAAAATGATTTCGAAATGGGATGCAATTGTAATCCAAATATTTTGGTGCACTAGAGAAAATTAAAATTTGCCATCAAGGGCCAAAAGTTTTAAGTGCAAAAATGGAGCTAATGAAACACCATACGTGTATTAAGTTAAACAAGCGTCTAGCGCCAGCGTCGGCTACTTTTCGCAGACATGCGCGTTATCGACAAACATCACGCGGATATTTAATGTAGGGTTTATTATAATAATCTAAGTAAAGAATTACTTCTTGCGAAGCTTCGAAACCAACCCAAACTCAACAACCCAACCGACCCCGCTTCACCCAATTTTTCAACGAAGGAATATTCATATAATTATTAATTACATATTATATTATATAACTGTAGCAAAATTATTATGAGGAAGGGTAAATAATTTAAAATATTAATGTAAAATTAAATATTAATCCTTTTCGCTTTATAAATAAAAATAAAAAAAAGTTGTAGACGCTAAGAATCGAACCTGGTATCTCTGGTATACAAAGCGGGCGCTCTTCCATCAAATCA